TTGGAAACACCAAACCGTGACTCCGGCTGGGCAAGGCTCTTTGCCTCTTCTCCCCTCTCTCAGTCTTCTCCCAATCTTTACTTCCCGGTTTCTGTTGCCTCAAAGGTGCTTCTTTCGTTTTCAGAAGTGAATTATTTGTGTAGTGTGTGTGAGGAGGGGTGCACACGTGTGTGCGGGTCAGAAAACAGCCAGGAGGATCAGTTCTGTCTTTCCTCCGCGTGGGTCCCTGGGGACGCACCCTTAGCCTGCCTGGCTTGGCGGCCTCACCTGCTGAGCCATCTCACCAGGCCTGCTTTCTGCTCGTTTGTGTTTTAATTGTTCACTGGAGACGTAGCGCCATGACAGGATTTTACTTCGTCTCTGTAGCTGCAAAGAGATGTTCCCAGTTCCACGCAGGAAGTGCTGTGGCAATGAAACCCTCTTTGCTGCCTCCTGGGGTTTATTGCAAAGTTTGCTACATTCCTGTTTGCTTTGCACAGCTTTGGGGCTCTGTGAGACGCCGAGCGACTCTTTCGATCGAACCGTGTTCCTTACCAGGGTACCCTGGCGTGCCTCAGCTTTTCAGTCATTCGACTTGGACGCAATGTCATCGTTTTCCACGAAATTACTGACTTTCTCTGCTTGTTGGGACTACTGGCTTCATATTTAGACTCTCACTTCTTTGAATTGATTCTTTTTTTAAATTTTACTGCCGTGAAACGTTTATTACTTATTCGGTGCCTTTCCTAGATCATCCAAGTCCAGCGGTGAGATGGTGGGAAGGCTGCCCGCAGCCAAGCCTGATTGCCTGAGTTCCGTTCCTGGCCCCATTTTGAGGAGAAGACAGTTATAACTAAATCTGTGTGCACCCACTTCATGACACACACACACACACACACACACACACACACACACACACACACACACACACACACATCCAAATAAAAAGATAAAAATCATCTCATTCTTCCCACCTCTTCGTCTTTCTACCCATCCAGTAAAATCCCTCTAGTGAACCCTTCATCCACATGCACAAGCCTGGACTCGTTATTTTCTGTGCAGCTTTCTTCCTGGGACATCTTAGTTGGATCTATTTCTTCGCTCTTTGGATTCGCTTCCCCATTTTACTGGAGCATAGTCTCAAACTACTCCTCAAAGAAGGACAGGCAAAAAACAAAGATTCAGCCTTTCGTGTTTCTGAGGTATCTTCATTCTGCCTTCACAACTTCTGGCAGGATACAGAAATCCATTAAAATACATTTCCCTTTAGAGATTTGAAAGCATTTCCCACTGCCACTTACAAGGAAGCTAATGTGTGGTGATATTGTGTTCCCCAAAATTTTGTGCATCCTAATAAACTTATCTGGGGTCAGAGAACAGAACAGCTACTAGATATAGAGGCCAGAAAATGGTGGCACACACGCCTTTAATCCTATCACTTGGGAGGCAGAGATCCATCTGGATCTCTGTGAGTTTAAAGCCACACTGGAAACAGCCAGGCATGGTGACTCACGCCTTTAATCCCAGGAAGTGATGGCAGGAGGTATTTAAGGCATGAGGACAAGGAACTAGGCTAGTTAAGCTTTTAGGCTTTTGAGCAGCACAGTTCAGCGGAGAGGCATCCAGTCTGAGGAAACAGGATCACCTGAGGAATTGGCGAGGTGAGGAAGCTGTGGCTTGTTCTGTTTCTCTGATCTTCCAGTGTTCACCCCAATACCTGGCTCCAGGTTTGTTTTTATTAATAAGAACTTTTAAGATTCATGCAACACTGATGAAAGTTTAGAACTGAGTCTCTTGCAAATGCTCTACTTTTCTTCTCATTAAATAGTTTAGATATGTGGCTGTTCTTGTCACTCTGCAATTTTTAAAAGATTGTCCTGAAACGGGAATGTCCTGCACGATCTACTTGTTACTAACTGTCCCTTCTGAAATGGGAATGTCCTGTGGGATCTACTCATTGCTAACTGTCCCATCTGAAATGGGAATGTCCTGTATGATCTACTCGTTGCTAACTGTCCCTTCTGAAATGGGAATGTCCTGTGTGATCTACTCGTTGCTAACTGTCC